TCATGTTGTATGAGCAAGCAACTTCCTTTTACTGGTCTGATTCCTGTGAGTTGGGGTGAAGTAGTAAATTTGGAAGTGCTGGTAATCATCATGGCAGGCTCCAGTGCAGGGGATGTGGCTTCACCATCACAGGCACATTTAGTGAAAAATCAGTACAGGGCATTTTTGGTGACATCTCCCAATCTGTGGAATTCACTCCCTCAGAAGTTAAATTGACCTCTTCCCTACAGTCCTTCCAACAGCAGGTGAAAGCTTTTCTTTTTAAGACAGCCCTTGATCTCTAAATGCATTTACAGGATTGCAGTTTTATGGGATACAGCATAATTTTTATCGGATGTTTTAATTTATTTTAATTAAAGATGTTGATAACACTGTTTAATCATATTTTAGTATTATATTTTAATTTATTGTTATTTTGAACATGTGTTTTTTTTTTTGCTGTTGTAGTCTGAAAACTGTGTTGAGTCTCTTCCACAGGAGAAAGATGGAATGTAAATTAATAAATAAGTAAATTTAACAGATCTCCAGATATATTAATATTTATAAGATTATATCAAAAAGCTTTTGGCATCAGCTTCAGATTCCCGGTTTACAAGATAATAGGGAATTATTTAAAAGCCATAATAATCACATGGAAACAGAAGTATACATTTACTTTTCCATATGGAGAACAATAAATGCACAAGATTTGGGAGGGAATAGAACTATGAATAATATATTGGTCAATAATAAAATAATGTGATCATAATGGATAATAATCATTAGACAGTAGCAAGGCTTTAGCTTAGATTCGAATACACCTTGATAGTGTTGGAGAAGAACCCAGCTCTTGAGAATAATGATTAAGATGATACTGTTGTGGTGGTAGAACCTGAGAAACGAAATATTTTATATCCTGGCAAGGATGTTTGTTTTGCTTTTTTCTAAATTTAAAATGCCCTTTACTTCCTACTTGTTTGTTTGTTTGTTTGTTTACTGCACCATTATTGTGAGGCACTATTCTGGGTGGTTAACAATCAATAAAATCAAACAGAAATAAATCAAACAAAACAATAATAAAGTCAAAAGAACAAATCACATCAACTAGCATCACAAAACCAAGACAACAACAGACAACACGGATGTTGCCCATTATAACATGGGCAGGGCAAGCACCAAGTTCATGTGAGATGGCTTTCAAAGGCCTCTATAAAGAGCTGTGTTTTGAACATCTTCTTAAAGGGAGGGAGGGGAGCAGGTGAAGCTGGTATGAGAACCTGTTCCAAAGGGCTGGTGCTACACGTGAGAAAGCCCAATTTCTAGTGGATGTCTTCCTGGCCTCCTTCAGTGTAGCTACCAGTAGAAGAATGGCCTGAGAGGATCTGGTGGTGACGGTAGATGTTCCTGTGTTCCTACAGAGGGCACAAGGGAAGTTTTGCCACCACTGTGACAACACCAACACCCCCCATTTTAGGTCTGTTGTTTTTTCAAAGCCAGAAGTGACAGAATGTCTCTTTTAGTTTTGGGAAAAGACCTCTCACCAAAACATAAAACAGGTCAAATCTGCAGATTATTTGATTACATTGCCACCTTTTGTGGTACGAGAGGTCTTTTTATGTGGAAATGGTTGGTGGGTGCAGTGAGCAGTGCATACTTCATTGGCTGCACTTTGCCCACTCTTGCTTTAAGCCAAAATGAAGCACAGTCTTCCAGTCATACAAATAAGAAGAGTTTAAAATCCTCATAAAAAACATACTAAAAGCAATTGAACATCAGTCAATATTAAAACCAGAATAAAAACAAATTTAAATTTTTTTAAAAAAATTAAAAAATTATTAAATTCAATAAATATAGAAATTCCTGAAACGCACACTTCTTTCTTAAAACCCTTCCTGAAAAATTAAAGTCTTTGATGGATTAGAGAAGGCCAAGAGGAAGTGGGGCAACCTCTTTTCGTGAGCCAGCTCATTCGAAAGCCCATGATCACTCTCTGAGAAGGCATTCTCGTATCCTTTCCAAAGGTTCCTGGGAAGGTGGTAAAAGTGAGGGAAGTACTTCCCCTGATGATCTTAAAAGCCAAGAAATTTCATATGTAGTGATGCAGTCCTGAGGTTATAAAAAAAGAGGGGGGAGAAGGCAGTAAAGGGATTTGCTAGTAGTGGAAGCTCAAAAAAGACGAAAGGAAGGAGGAAGGGGGAAAAAGAGGTCTGAGTACAAGCGCTGGAGTAGCCTCAACCACAGCTTCCCAAGTTTTAGATATGGATCTGCTGTTGTGCAAAGGAGATGCCAGCAGCCACCCACAGAAACAGCCCATGTCCTCAACTCCCATCTGGTTGTGGCACTGGAGGAGGCAATTCAAGAGAGAATTCAATCAATTCCAACAGTTGGAGGCCAAGATAGAAAAGATTCAGTGGATGACCTCCTCCTGTGGCAGAGGGTGGAGATGGTGACAATTCTGATGCTCTGAAGGGTTGCATGGGGACAATGAAGTAACTACTTCTCATCTCCGGACTTGAGGAGCATCCGATAGCAGACAGGTCAGGATGGACTGCTGGGGGATTGGTATTGCTAGAGTAGTTTGTAGTTACTTCGTTGATTTGTCCATTAACTTTGAATTGCAGAAGAAATTTTGATTCTGACTTTTATGTCCAAAGCAATGGCCCTCTTTGGGCAGCTCCCCTCCCATAAAGGACAACATTACAGTGGAGTGTGCCTGCTCCCTGCCTTACCTTTCTTTATAAAGGTAAAGGTTCCCCTTGACATTTAGTCCATTCGTGTCCGACTCTAGGGCATGATGCGCATCCTTGTTTCCAAGCCATAGAGACAATAGTCCATTTGTGTCTGACTCTAGGGCATGATGCGCATCCTCGTTTCCAAGCCATAGAGACAATGTTTCTCCGAAGACAGTTTCCGTGGTCACGTGGCCAGCACGACTAGACACAGAATGCCATTACCTTCCCACCAAGGTGGTACCTATTTATCTACTTGCATTTCCATGCTTTCGAACTGCTAGGTTGTCAGGAGCTGGGACAAGCGATGAGAGCTCACTCCGTCGCATGGATTCGATCTTATGACTGCTGGTCTTCTGACTCTGAAGCACAGAGGCTTCTGCAGTTTAACCCGCAGTGCCACCACGTCCCTACCTTTCTTTATACCTCTGTTTTAATTACCTGCTTAGCCCAGCTCCAGCATTACAGTGAGCAAACGTACACATTGCAAAGAGATCAAGAGGAGGAGGAAAGGATGAGATTTTACTTGCATCCCTTGTGTGCTTCATTTGGTGCTAAAAGTAGGGTCTTCCAACATGTGTATATTTGATTTTGTCCTAGTCCCTCATCCTAATCCTTATTCTGTTGATACCACTCCACCATTCTTTGTAAGAGCGCAGAGTAGGTAGCAATTTACCTCAGGGTCTAGAAGATTATGGTCAAAATTTAGGGATTAGAAGATACAAATATTTATAATCATGGTTTACAAATGTCTAAAAGTATTGATATCAGGGACGCTTTCTACACCACCTAACTGATCACCTGTCCCCCTTCTCCCCCTCCTTTTCCTCCATCCACTCTGGGTTTATATGATTAGTCAGTGCCAGCTGTTTTTAGGGTTATTGTTGTTGCTTTTCATGTTTTTATCCTTATTTTTGTTTTCTATTAGAGTAGTGCCTTGACACTAATGGGAGAAGGATACAAATTGAATTAATTAATTAATTAATGCAGACAGACAGACAAGCTATGGTAAAAGACAAACAATTGCTTGTCCCTGTGTCTTAGTTTGTACAAACAGATACATGTTTAACCTGAAGAACAGGAGAATGTGTAAGAACCAGGTTTCCACCATCTGGTGCCGCTGCCACCAGGAAAATCGTGCTGGATAATCTACCTCTGTTAACCACACTGTTTTGGAGCACCACAAACAGAGGTTTCGAGGTGAATTCTAATCTCAGGTTGGTCAGTATGGAGAAAATGATTCTTCAGATACTTGAAGAAGCAAGTTTGAGCTCCATTGAGACCACTGGTAATTGCGCGGCTAAAAATCGTATAAATAAAATAAATATGAATAAATATGCTAATATCAACACAGTTGGGCTTCACATGCTTGAATTAACATCTTGAATTAGGCCTGGTGACTCACTGGCAGCCAGTGTAAATGTTTCAGAATATATAACAGGAGAATGTGTAAGAACCAGAATAGTCCCATCAGGAGTAACACAGTTGTCCACTGCACTAACTAAAGTCTCGGACTGTCTTCAAGGGAAGTGCCATACAAAGCACATTGCAATAACCCAACTGGGAAATTGTAAAAGCATGGATATTACTGGTTGTGGTAGAATTCTCACAGGATTTAGAAGCTCGTCTGAAGAATAACAGGAGAATGTGTAAGAACCAGAATAGTCCCATCAGGAGTAACACAGTTGTCCACTGCACTAACTAAAGTCTCGGACTGTCTTCAAGGGAAGTGCCATACAAAGCACATTGCAATAACCCAACTGGGAAATTGTAAAAGCATGGATATTATTGGTTGTGGTAGAATTCTGACAGGATTTAGAAGCTCGTCTGAAGATTTCAGAATGAGCAAAATGTGACACCCAGAATTCTAATGGTGTTTGTGTATGGTTTAAATAATTCAGCTGTGGCTAATTGATGAACTCCAGGGATGCCTCTCCGTCATCTGTCTGGTCATGCTCTTGATTGCACAACTGAGATGTGCCACTGCACCTTATCAATTAGTCACAAATAACTAATTACACAAACCATATGTGAACACCAGTGGGATTCCAACTGACAGAAGTTTATTAGTCTATACACAAATGATTTTTATTAGTTTTATTGGTCTGTTTTATTAGTCTATACACAGTTGATTTTTCTCACAGTAGAATTTTGAAATTGGTGGGAGCTATTAATGCTGTAAAGTAAAAACAGCATGGATTTGTTTAAAAGTGGTCTGGTATTCTATAGTTGACAGGTACTCCAAAAAAAATCTAATATATATATATATTCCCTCTCTCTTTCTCTTTAAAGGTCTTCTACCAGGCCAGAAGTCGCTAGTATAGAAGCTCTAGTGGAGGATAACCATCAGTGTTCACAGAAGGCTATTGTCCAAGCCCGATCATCACAAGTAACACGCCTTACAAGTGTTATTTTGGCTGAAGAAGTCTGTAAGTACAATATTTCTTCCCTGCCACCTTTTGTATGTGTTTTACAGGCTATTATTCTGAGAATTTTATAGCATTCGCGTGTTTCACACCATTACCCGTGAGACTTTTAATGGATATACTGATTGTGCGCACGATGGCTCAAAAGGATTTGGTGGAGCTTATTCCCAGGTGCTTATATGATTGGATTCTAAGGGTAGACACACACTCTTCTACTTGTGTGTTTTTGTGTCAGAGTTTGAAAGAGCTAGAATTAGAAATAGGCTTATTGTTCATCCTGGGCATTTATTCTTGCATGACTTCCTTCGTAGATTGATTGTTTTTATTGTTTTTTATTGCTATTTTTTTTAAAGGGGAAGCATCTGAATACATCACTTTTTTACCTTTTGAGAGACAGACAGTATGTTTTCAGCTACAAATAGAGAAAACCCATAGAATTGGAAGCATAGAGATGGCTTGATCTATGCCCACAGGAGGAAGAGAAACAGAGAGGTTATTGCTACATAGCAGAAAGAAGCAAAGTGCCTTTTGTTTAGTGAGGGGAAAAACAGGATGGTGAAAGAACATATATTCAAAGCGAGGTTAAATATGAAAAGAAAAAGGGATAATATTTTACAGATTAAAATCAGTAATATGTGTAGCATATTTATAATTAAACATTACATTTAACCATTTTTAACCTTCTCATAGAACTTCTGCTGTTGAAGAAGTCCTGGGACAGTGACAGCTTACATTTACATGGGAAAAATTTCGTAGAGATTTGCTGATTAGTGACTGAAGCATGGAGAGCTGGCAGGCTTGGTAAATGCCTATTCTGTGACTGTGGGTGCCGAACATGCAGCTCAGAGAATAACAGCCTAACAGTATTGTGTTTGTGTAGAGATATGTCTTCAGTATGAGCATGAGCTTCCCTTGGGAAAGTGTGCATTGGATTCCCAGTGGAAGCATGCACACGTTTTGGCGTAAGAGATATTAGTAGAAAGGGATATTAAAGTTCCTCAGACTCATCACAACAGAAAGTACACACCGTGGAGTATAGGAAACATACCAACAATATTTTAAAATACTTGAAAGTCCTTTATAATAAATCTGTCTATGAGTCCGTTCTGGTTAGGGGCAACTTTGGAGGGCCATAATAATGAAGCATCATGTATGGCCTTGGAATTTTCTGCACACAAAATGCTCTCTTTTGGATCTCTTCCAGTAAAGCAATAAGCATGTCACAGTTTATTTCAGTTATTAATAAAACATATAAATCCATTAGTTGAAGTACAGAGTTATTCGTATGCAATGATTATCTGTAGTGAATTGCTGCTGTTTAAGTAAGAGGGTTAAAATTATGCTTGGCTTCAGTTTTTGTGTGCATAACTCTTTAGTATATATGAACAAATGTAAATGCAGGCTTAGAATACTTTTTGCTCCCTTATGAACTGCTATAAGTCCTGCATGGCAGGGATGAGAGAAAGTTGCTCCAGATCATCCCTGACATCTCCTCTCCCCTGAAATGGAACAAAACAAAATGGCTTTGATCTAGAGGAGAACTTGCCAAGGGGCTTGACATAAAGTGACTTTCTCACCCCATGTGCCAGTTGGTTTATATATTTTTATTTATTTTTAATTTATTACATTTCTTATGCTGCCTTTCTTCAAGTGCATTTCCAGAAAGCCTCCTCTGGAGCTCCAGGATCACTCCTCAATATAGTGGGGATATACGTGTGGAACTATGGGCTAAGGGGAAATCAGCAAAAGACGTGTGTAGATCTCTTTCATAGGCAGAGCTCGTGGTTGCATTCCCTCTTAATACCTCAGTGCACTCCAGTCAAGAAGATTGTTGCCAGCAGACGGCACCTTCTGCAAGACCCTAGAACAGTGGTTCCCAACCCTGGGCCTCCAGATGTTCCCAGAAATCCTGGCCGGCAGAGGTGGTGGTGAAGGCTTCTGGGAGTTGTAGTCCAAAAACATCTGTAGGCCCAATGTTTGGGACCACTGCCCTAGAGCTCTACTGGAGATTCTCTGGATCCAAGCCTGTAAGTAAAAGGCCATGTTCACAGGACGTCACTTGTTGGGTACAAAGAGCTAAAATGGTGGTGAAGGAGGTGTTCTCTGCTGGATATATATTGAAAATGATGCCATTTTACTCCATTCTGCTATTACATTATAATTACATCTTTCCTGTGTGAAAATTAAAACATTACTGTACATTTTTTTTGAGGTAACAGCTTGTTATCTCAAAATCAGATATTAATCTACTGTATACAATGCTGTAAATCTAAAATGTCAGTAGGACCAAACAATTCATTTTCTTTTATTTCATCAAGTAACGGGTCTAGTACTTCGTTGTGATGCTATAGTTGATATCATTCATGAAGTTCACGTTGTGTCCACCACAAAAGAGTTGTATCTGGAGGATTCCCCTCTGCAGCTGAAAATTCAGGCACTAGATTCTGAAGGTGAGAACCTTTCTTGTCTACTTAATATACCCTATGATCCATATAAGAACTCCTTGTGTTGCTATTCAGACATTGTGTTTTTGTTCTGAAATATGTAGCTGCACACGAAGCAGGCTGGATTTTTTAAAAAAAACTCTGTCTAAATAGCTTGTGCATGAATTGATCGGTATTTAAACCATACTGTTTTTTTAAAAATGTGAAACTATGTGTGATAGTAGGAATTATATAATTCATCTTCTCACATCATTTACCAGACCTTGCAATATAAAAATACAGTCAAGGTGTCTCACAAACAACAAAATTACATGACAAACAACAGTAAAGAATAACCTCCAACTTCTTTAACAACAGATTAAGAGCCACATTTGCCATAAAATTCTTGACAGCAGTAATATCTAGGAAAAGCACTCACTTCTTGAAGTGCTACTCCAGATCTTGCATGCTTCATGCAAAATGGTGGGTGGGTGGACAGTGTATGTGCATGGACGCCTACCTGTTGTATGTTTGGTGTAGGAAGCGTCCTAGCCTCACAGATGGATGAAAGATTGGATGGGGCTATTCAAATGGGATTATTTGGAAGATATTTTTGTCTCTAGCTGTCTGAGCCTTTAAAATTCAAAAGCAGCACCTTGAATTTGGCCCAGAAATGAAGTTGCAACCTGTGATGCTGCTACAGTGTATGGGTTCAAGGCTTCCGTTGGAATCCTAGCAGCTACATTTTAAATCGTCTGAAACATCTCAGCTGTCTTCAAGGAAAGCCCTAAGTAACATACCTTCCATATAACTAGCCAAGAGGTGACAAAATCATGAATGCCCACAGCCAAATCTGGCTTTCCCAGGAAAAGTTCACAGCTGACATAGACAGTGAAAGTGATTAAGGGCCTTGCTATCTCTACTTAGAAGCATTGTCTTGAAGACGAGGAGAAAAAAGAAATGGAGGAAGGAATAGCATTTTCAGAGCTGATCAATAATGTCAATATTTGCCTACCCTGGATAGAAGTTTCTGCTGATGGATTAGACTAATGGGCATATGCTGGTATCAGCTAAGTAAAAGGGAGCAGTGCTTTGATTTCAAGGAGAGTCATGCTGTCTCCTGAGCATGTTGTTCTTGTAATTCTTGTGCTGTGAGGATGTTGAGCCAATGTCACAACAGGAATTTAACCTTTACTGAATGTGCGCTGCACACCTGCAGCTTCAGCACCATTCCAATCTTGTACACTTAAAAAAAATTGATTTATTTTTGTTTTGTTTCAACAACACTGGAGAAAAGATTTTTCTTAGCTTTGCAATATAAAATCATGTATCATAAAAACAGCCTATTATGCTTATACATCTTGTATCCTTCATGCCCTTGGATAATGAAATCTGTTTCCTCTGCTGGTACATAGTAGTTTCAGACATGAAGCTTAAGGATGGAAAAGCAACTCAGCATTTTCTATGTTGTCTTAGTCTCTCAGGACTGAAATGGATGTGCAATCCCAGAGAATATAAGATGAAAGATAGACTAAATTTTGTGTGAGTTGTGTAATGGCACATTTTAAACATTTTAATTCTAAGGTTTGGGCAGTGAAATAAATGTGATTTTTCTCTCTCTCAGTAGTGACAAAAAGACAGGAATGCTTTTTTAAAAAAAACCCTAAAACAGTTAGAAAATAAGCATGTGTTTTGTCAGATTAAGAAAAACCTCTTAGATTTCTGAATTTATCAATCAATTGTGAAACTCTCTGAGAGTCTTCTGTTTTTGGCATGGGAAGCAGAAAGTAATGCTACAGAAGAATGTTGATAAAGACTACGAATATTCAGTAATATTCTAGATCTGCCTCACTCAAGAAAGTTTTCTTACTTTTGCTTCTAGATTTACAGGAAGTAGCCTTTGATACATTTCCTCAGATGCAACTCCCTTTCAGTTCAGTGAGAGCAATCCCCAGGTGCTTGTGTATGGATTGCAGCCTTAGTCTTATAGTCCATTTTTATCCTCCACCCCTTATTCTGGTTCTGGTGGCATGGTGTATAGGCATCTGTATAAAATTTGAGCCACACAGCCATGTTCTAAACTTCTCTGTGATTCCAAATGATAAAGGGATAACATAACTGGCAGGGGAGGTCAGAAGTTTTTGCAGTTCATCCCTGGTGAGCAGTATTATGTTTTCTTATTAAAAAGCTGTACCTTCGAATTAATAACATTGGTGGAAGCTGTTGAAGTAACATTTGTGCAAATCCAACATGGGCTTGTGAATGAGAAGTTGGTCTTGAATAATGATTTCTCTTGCAAAAAAGAAACAGTTAAAATGTTATAATTGATGAGAACTGATGTCACTAATGAGACATAATTCGGGTTCTGTTTCCAATATGTGCTCTCACTACCTCACCTGCCATTTCAATTCTTGTATTTTTCAAAATTTAATCTGCATTGAGCTCCTTGATAGGTACATCCGACATGAATATTAGCTCAGCTGCACGAATGTTAAAAATCACAGGATTTTTAATACACATTGCTTCCTGCTGCTTCATCAAAGCTTGGGGGGGCAGGGGGGAATTTACTACACCTCTCAGAATTCTCTGAATTCCCTAGGGAAGTGTAGTACAAAAGAATAATTTTTAAGCTCCGTGTCTGGTAAGTAAATGGTTGTGACTTGATATCTCCCCTCCTAAGACCTTCAATACATTGGTTAACAGTAATGTTGAAAGTGTCTTCTCCTTTGAGTTTAATTCACTCCATCTTCTTTTGTATAAGTGGATCTTTTGTATAAGTGGATCTGGGATGGCTAAGCAAAAGGAGAAATTAGGACTCATGAAAATCAAGCATGAGTCTTTTTCATGTTTACATTTTCATTTTTATCTTTTTCCTGTTAGGAATTTCAAAGCATTTGGGATTGACTTTATGGAAAGTTTCCAAGGTGGGAGGAGAATTGGATTGCTATTCTAACACTTAATATTTAGTTTCTTGAATTATTTAAAGGAAACACTTTTAGCACCTTGGCGGGGCTCGCTTTTGAGTGGACAGTCATGAAGGACCCAGAAACTAATGGATTCTCAGATGCCCACAATGCCCTACGGTAAGTTATTAAAATTATTTAAGTTATTTGAGTTCTTGCTTCATGCATGTAGTAACTAAAGGAAGAGATAAAGTTGTGTCTATCAGCTTCTGTTACTTGTTGGCATTGCCACACCTTCCTATTCAACAGTTTTGCAAGGCCTCCTTTAGTCCATTCATTTTTAAAGAGGATGTATATCTTGGCTGTCTTTAAATGACATACATTGCAGCTCACAATACACTATTTGAAATAGCTATTCTGTAAAAGTCATGCTAAAAATATGAAGATTTCAGGTGGCAAGTAAAATTTCCCAGAATTTCCAGGGAAGAGAAAAACACTGAAAAGGGTTATCACAGCACCACAGATTAATCAACAGGCATTCTGAGACAGGTGTTTGAAAAAGTTACTTTTTTGAACTACAGCTTCCAGTATACTTGCTGTGCTGTCTCTAGGGCTTTCTTTCTTTCTTTCTTTCTTTCTTTCTTTCTTTCTTTCTTTCTTTCTTTCTTTCTTTCTTTCTTT